TCATATGCCTGACTTATTCTGAATCCCTATTTTGAAATGAAACTATTTCCTTATTTGGGATTTGCCTATTTTTATCTATTGAACAGAGATATCCATTGAAGAGAGATTTTTCTGGGATAAGCATGCTCTGTGGTACGAGTAAATTCAGCACTGTTGCTGACCTGCAGTGAGTGATATTTCTGCTAATAATGACTAAGATAATAAAACACCTAGAGCAGGTTGAAGATGAAAATGCTGTGTCTTTGCTAATATTTAACATGTAATGCCTTTCCTTTTTCACAGTGATCCATCATTTCTCAACTAAAGAAAGAAGAATCAGGGCAATAAAAGAAATGGCGAGGGTATTGATACCTGGAGGCCAGATGATGATTTATGTTTGGGCTATGGAACAAAAGAATCGTCGCTTTGAGAAACAAGATGTCTTTGTTCCTTGGAACAAGGCCTTGTGCTCACGGCATTTTTCAGAATCAAATCAGTCTGGACATAAGGGTGAGTTCGTGCACACTGTGAAAAGCCAAGACATAGACCCAGCACAGCTAGTCATCTCTGATTGCAGCTACCAAACCAATCTGCAGCCAGAAACTGATTCAAAACATTCCCACAATAGGGACCACTGCTTGTCCAGAGCCTGTTGCGTGAAAATTTCGGAAGAAGAAAACAGATTTTACAGTGCTTTAGGAAAATCTTTCCGCTCGTGGTTTTTCTCCAGGTCACTTGATGAATCAGCCCTGAGAAAGCAAACTGAGAAAATGAAGCCTCTGAAGAATGAAGAATGGGCAAACAGTACTGTACCAGTTCAGCATTCACGACACTGCAGTTTGGATTTAGGTCACCATCGGGCACTGTTAAAAGAACAAAGTTTAGATGATGATGATGTGTTCGTGGAAAGTCTGCCTCTCAAAAAACCACAGTGGTCACCAGCCACAGATGCACTGAAGGATTTAAGTTTACATGGAGGACAGCAAAGTGTAGCTCAGAGTGAGAGGGAAAAAGCCTCATTTATAAATGGCCCAGTGGAAGACAGAGACTACAGCTGCAGTTGTAATAATGATGGTGCTGGTAAGTCTAATGCCAGCAAGTTTTTCAAAAGAACTTCAACAGCTGACTCTTCTGACTCTGCTTTGGATTCAGCAGTGTCTGTTGGGGACCAAACTGATGCCATGTTGGATACAAAAGCCTTCATGCGTTACTATCATGTTTTTCGGGAAGGGGAGCTGTGCTTCCTGATAGAAGAGAATGTGCCTGAGCTTCAGATACTTTCTTCCTGTTATGACCATGGAAACTGGTGCATTATTGCAGAGAAAAGAGGAACATAGCTGTAAAGAGAACAAAGCAGAATTTACTGACTGAGGATTTTAAGATGCTCCTTGTGTTCCTGTGATTGTGCAGTGTGGTATGGAATTCAAATCTCATGCAGTTGTGTGCCATTCATCTCTGAGTTATTGACTCTCTACCTATTTCACTATCTAATGAAAGGTCTGTATATAGGAATGTAAGTGTTAAACAATATTTATGTTTTGTTAAACTTTTATGAAGTTAAAACTGAAGAGTTTTATATTGCTTATAGCAAATAATGGTGTTTTTAAAATATACTATTTTATTGGAAAATAAAACCTTTTTATAAGACAAGGATCAGGCCATCTTTTATGAGAAATATCCTCTCAGTAGAAAATTTAGGCTTTGTTCTTCAAACACCGAAAATGTGTCACCTTACTCCCTGTTCTTGAAGTCCTATAAGCAGAGAGATAGGCATATTTAATAATGTATTTGACTGTGCAGTGCATGCTACAGAACTGGGAGTTGGAATGTTCCCAGTGCTGCTTAGTTTGGAGTGGAGCTGTTAATGGGCAGAAACTATGTACAAAACAAGCTCTGCGTATTCTACAATTTGAGGTTTGTATTTGGGAGCAAATGACAGAACAAGTTTTGAACAGCATTTGGGACTGACATTTTAGGAAGAATCTGTGTTTCGGGTGCAGTTTTAAGTTTTATGCATTAGCTCTCACAAGTACTTTATCTTAATTTTCTTGCTGGTTATGTGTATATAGAAGTCAGAGGGATTTGTGAGAGTATCAGTACTATGTAAAGGTTACAAAATATCAAATATTTGAGATACCTTTATCTTTTTCATAAGCCTGGGAAGCAAAGATAAAATTAATACTATTCCAGTGCACATCTGGTCAGCTGTCATATTTGCTCTCCTCAGTCACTGACATGAGTATATACATTAAATACCTTGTTAAATAACGTAGATAGGAAAAGGATACACACGCAGTTTCTGTATAAAATACAAAATCCTGTCTCCTGCAGTTTAAATCTTTTGACACCTAAGTAATAATAGATTGCTTAAACAACTTTCCCATTACCTGAAAGACATAAATTTTGCAGAGCATGATGTCCCATCATCATCCAGTTGTACTAGATTATAGCAGTTGCCCCCATATAGTTATTTACACCCAAGCAATTTCACCCCTTTCAGTGGAAGGCTTCTGATGTGAAGTTATATGTGCTGTGGATAAAATCCACCTGGCATCTGAAGATGAGTGGTGAAACTGTAATTGTTACCAACTGAAACAGGGCTGGGCTAATTGCCTTGTTAGCGCATAGTTACTTGATTTTTAGGCTTTATTTACAGACAGTGGTTTTAGTGACCTGTGGTGGAGCTGCACAGATTCACCTCAGAGAACTACCCTTTGATACAGCAATTTCAGAGTCCTATATGATTAAGTTGGCTGCCTTAATAATGACCAAATAACTTTGAACATGAAGCAGCAGGAGTGAAATGCCAAACTTTTCCCATCTATGCTGTGTAAGTAGATGCATTTTGGGTTATTCAGTAGAAAGCCTTGATTGTGCTGTGTAATTTTGGATTTAACTGCCCAGGAGAATTTCCATATGGTGATGTATTATAGATTTATCTATTGGAGAGATGACTGTTGAGCAGTCATCTTCCTCATAGTTAGGGATCCCTGTACTTTATTCTTCCTGGGTTTGTATCACTTGCACTCCCCACTGCTTTATGAAAATAAAAGCATGGTAAAAGAACCATGTGTCTGAGACATCTGAAATATAATTCCACTCTAAATATTACTTTTAATATAGTCTAGGGCTGTGGTTCTCAGACTCTGTGTCTGAGCCTTACCTTAGGAAACTAGCAATATTTTCTGCATTGCTGGGTCCAGCTGTTTCTGTTTAAGAAGCATAGTGCAAAAATGCCCACACTAGCATATTGCAGAACTGGCACGGATTGTGCTGAGCTCCACACCCCATCTGCAGTGTTCTCATTAGGCTGCTGAGTACTGCCTTATTTATTGGGAATTTCTGGTGGAGCTTAATGATTTAAAAATAAAAGTCAGTTGCTTCCAGATAAGATATGTCAGTGGATATTCAGCATCTCTGGATTTGGGCTGTATTTAGGAAAGGTAATTGTTTATCATCCTATATGCAATTTTAAAGGTTTGTTCCTACACTCCAATGCACAGAAACTCTATTTCACACATATAAAATACTTATACAATATTATTAATCTTAACTGGCTTAGTTAACTGGGAGAAGGAACGTTACAATTTTATTATCTGTGCTTCTTCAGTCTGTCTATGGACTATTTGGTGTGTAGTCAAGCAGACTGAAAAATTAGGGTAGACTAAGAAAAAAAATGCTTCCTTTCTCTTTACAACAGCAACTATTCTTCTAAGAAGCTGAATCTATGTTTCAGGCTCTAGAATAAACTCTATCAGCTGTATGGAACAGGGTTGTCAGCTCAAAGCCACTGAGGTACTTTAAACTATTTTTGCTTTTGCAGACTTTCCGTGCATTGTTGGGTTTGAGATTCCTGCCTGACAGAGCTTTTCACCATTATTTATTACTGTATTGGATTTTCTCTTGTTTTAAGATGATGCCATTCAGTTGCATTACATACAAGTTTGGATTGTATTGTTAGACTTTTCTATGGGAAGGAAAAAGGAGGTTTGGTAAACTGTATTCTTTTCAAATATTCAGTCTTCCTCTAAGGATGTATAATCACCATGTAACATAATTTTTATAGACGGGATCAGTCAGCTGAGGTCATGAATGTGAGGTCTGCACAGCAAGTCTTTATTGCCTTTTCAGTCTCTCATCTATTTATAGAGGCTGTCTAGGACTGTAGCATCTTTATCATTTTAGAAGAAGCCAGATTACCTCCCTCAGAGCATGGTGAATGTCCCTCTTGTTAGGTTTCTCTTTTGACGAGGCCCATTTTAGCAAGATGTTATTTCCAGAAGAATCCACGTGATCCCAATCTGTAAGCTATAGTAAATGAATGAATAAATAAATAAAACCCAGTTGTCCTTGCATGCTAAAACTTTGAGCAATATCCAGACTACAAGAAGATCTGACTTTTGTAAGGTAAAAGGCAAATGTGTTCTTGTATTTATTGTCTGACAAATGGGCAATGTTCTCATTTTGGTTATGCCAATAGCAAACCTGCTTCTGACTGTGTTGGGCTATGATTGCTCCAAAGCTGCTTGTGTAGCTTTAAGTGGTACATGGAAAAGTCTTGATTACATGAGAAAAGTTGTCATGATGTTTTACAATGTAATTTCCTAGTATCATTGTCAGTCTGAGCTGGCTAAACAAAGGCTGCTACCTTATTACTCTTACAGACTATAATCCAAACGGAGAATTCCCATTAAAAGGATACAATTGAACAAACTTATTTTTGAAGGACTAATAAAATGGCAATTTTTAATAAATGACATATATTCTTCTTTTTTTTAAATACATTAAAATATGTACTTCAGATGTGCAGAAGTTTTAGCGTTTTAAATTTTTTTTTAAATTTTTTTTTAATTACTGATGGTGACTAGTTTACTTTCTTCCAAGCTTATAGTGTAGGAATTTTAAAAGCACAGGTAAGGAATGAAAGCTATAAATATTCTAGCAGATTTTTTTCTGGTACATATTTAGATACAAATTATCTGCACAGTTTAAAATTCTGGGTGAAGAGCTGTGTATCTTCCACCAGCAGAATATTGTTATTGAACGATCTGGATGATGGTGATGTCATTCTACTCACCTGGGTAGATTCTGAATAGAAATCCTGTGTCCTCTTGGCCATGTCATGTCTCTATCCAACTGTACCAATATCACTGTGTTAGTACCAGCATTGTGTTGAATCTACTGGTCTACCCACTTTCTTGCTTAGCACTTTTACAGGATTTGTGGCTACTTCAATGCTCCAAGAAAATGAAGTGTGTCAGTGTCATATATTTACATATATATATATCTTCTGTGAATTCAGCATTTCTTATTCTTACACTATATGAACTGTGGCAGCTACTGTTGATTTCATCTTCCAATCTGCTGATCAAAATCATGCATAGGTATTATTCTATAGTCAATTCTCTTTCCACACATGGAACCTATTCTCTAATATTTTCGTTAAAATATTAATTCCTACAGAATTTATGTGCTTTTAGATTAGCTAATAAATACATTAGCCACTGGAAACTCTGTGTCTGAGAAGGTTCTTAATTAATGTTAAATCTGAGAAGACCATTTGCTCCAGAAGTTAGACCAGATAGACGTGATACAGAGCAGTTAAGGACAGTGGTTTGCTAGGAAGCCAAGGAGTCTGTCTTTACTTTAGACGGCCACAGTCAACATAGTAATAAATGCAGTTATTTGATCTGGGTAAATAAAGGTGATGAAATATAGTTTTAAATTACATTAGTACTGTATGTCTGGTTGATGATAAAAAAGCAGGATGGTTGGCAGAATTAATTGCTACATTAATTGCTGTTCCTTCTAATCTACTTACAGTAATCCAGGACTAAACTTTGTGGTATAAGATAACATTGAAGAGTTTCTTTAGGATTGTTGATATCCTTTTTGCACCAATCTAGATCAGAAAAGAAAAAAAAAAAGTAATCAGAACTATGCAATTGCCTGGTGAGGTTACAGCTATACTATGTTAGAAGTGTTTTTACAGTTGCAATAATAATTTATTGTGTTTGTATAATTACAGTGATCACTTATTATAACAATACATTTATTAAAGTAATGATTGAGGACCTAATAATAATTAAGCACCATCCAGATGAGTATTAATACATGCCCAGTAGTGCAGAGTATGTAACCTAATAATATTTAGATTATGGGAAAGTAGTATGAGTACAGTCTTGACAATAAGGTCATAACAAATATAATTTCAAGTGGATATGAAATGGTCCTTATGAAGAGGGAATCATATCTGATAAAATGTTGAGAAAGGCTAAGGAGAAAGATTAAGGATAGGAAGTATATAGAGAAATGGAGGGGGAGTGGTAAAGATGGG